TATATATATATATATATATATAATAGTACGACAATAATTAAAACTTAAATAAAATGAATGACTGCAGTGATATGTAATATTTGTCATGTTTATTATGGATTTATTATGCGAAATGAAATTTATGTGTTACTTTAAAACAAAAATAATTATTTTGTATTAATATTGATATTTGATATTTGTATGTTATTTTGTTTAAAAAATTTGTTTATTAATATAGAATTCATAATTTATTTTTTTTAAAATTATCATCTCACATTACTACCTTCTAAATTTTAATTTTATCTTTATTTAAAAAATTTATAAATTATCAATTACTGTTTGCTTATTTATATTTTATTTAACATACTTCATAAGAAATTTCCTAAAGTTATTTGTTTTTTTTATTTATAGCCATTCTGAAATTCCCTAGATCAGAGAACAAAAATAATATCCCACATTCTTACCCTTTATTCTACAGCAATAATCATTACGTATTAACCAACTTCGAAACTCATGAACATGTCATTAAAATCGTTGCGTTTACGTTTCGCTACATTTATCCAATAGCACGGACCCGCAATGCAATACTTTCGTGTAGATAATTGTTGAAATACAATGCGTTCAATCGAGATTCGTGCTTTACGAAAATTAGTCAAGAATATTATCTTTCATTATAAAGCAAGGTCATCTTATTATAAATTCTTTTGATACTTTAATAAGCTATTGTCAAAATCTTGCAAAAGGAAGATTTTCACTTATTTACTCTGCAATTTTAAAGATTTTGAATTATCTCATTGATCGACTTTTTCATTACAACATTATTTTTAATTATTAATACAGTATAATAAATATAGGATATTTCTACCAGTATAATAAATATAGGATATTTTTTTAATAGAATATTGGAATATTTGTAAGTAATTAACATATATTAAAGAAGCAAAGAAATAATAATTTTATGCATTTTCATGCTTTTAGTAAAATTATAAAAGATATAATATTATGTAATAAGACATTTAAAGCAAACATGTAAACATTTTAATTTTTATATTATACCTATAACAAAATGTTATAAAAACGTGCCAATGTTCTCCTAGCCCAGTGGTTCTAAATTGGTAGTACGAGGGAAAAAACAATAGTATTTATCAATTTTAATTTATATTTTCAAGAATTCTAACATACACAATTGGCTCGATTTTTTAATAACTAACTAAGTATATAATATTAGAAGCTTGTAACCAATGAAGATGTTCAAATTCTAAATTATCTTAATAATTCATATTGAATAATAATTCATATTGGAACTTTGAAATTCTGATTTTTAACAATACATTATTTATGTAAAAACTACTATACAAGATATTATTTATATACTATATAAAAGCTACTATAGTTTAATTGGTAATAGATATTTTTATGGCCAGACTGCAGATATTTATGCAAAATCATATAATCATAAACAGAAAAAAATAGAATTTAAAGAAGGATTTCTTTCATTTACTGAAATATTCTAAAATAAATATCCTAATGAATAATAAATACTTGGGATGTTTTAAATATATTTGCATATCATATGCTCTCTCTGTGTGTGTTATTCACACTTTTATAACAAATGAAATAAAATAGACAAAGAAATAAAAGGCAAAACGATTTGCCTCATCCGCTAAATATTTCAATGAATACTATTCATATTCTACTTCTGACATTTTTAAATAATTCTGCATACATATGTGCATCCTATGCACTTATGGATTTCGCACTATAAACTACCAAGTAGCTTATAAACTTACTTGTGCTCGTGTTTTTGATGTCTTCGACACTTTCGATCCTCATCGTGGTTCGCGGATGCACCGACACCACTGGGTACCTCGTCCTTTTTGAAACTGTGCACCTCCTCCTCTTTGATCTTCTCGAATTGCACGCGTGGGCTGCCAACGGTCGGGCTGTCGCTGAAACCGGAAGCAGCCCTTTCCGAAATCGGTGCCTCGCTCTCGCTGCTGACAACATTCTCCATTTCTTCCGTGGTCTCGTCATCGGCGTTCTGCATGCTCGTCGGAGACAATCCATTGTCCATCGTGTCCAGTTCATGTCCACCGCCATTTCCTGTTACAACCTGTCCGTTCTCCTCTTCTTGACCGGCTTCCGCTGTGGATCCTTCGCTGTGAACGTGAGATTCTCGAGATTTTATCAACTGTTTAATTTCGTTGCGATAAATTTACTTTTTATACTTTATATTTGCGTTGTATTTACAGTATCAAAAAAAAAAGATAGAGTTAAGTTAATTAAAAACGATTAATTAAAATTTTCAATTTGATTGATTGATCAATGATTCTCATGATTCTCAAGTGAGTTAAAGATATTTGTTTTTATTGATTTTGCAAGTCAATAATAATGTTATAATACACAAAAATAATTTTGGATAAAGAAATTTGAAATGATTGAAAAAAATTATCGTTAAACAACATTTCACTAATATTAATAAAGAGGGGGGAAAAAGTCAAAAGAATACGTTTAAAGATACGACATGATATTAAAAAAAATTAAAATTCTTGCAATATTTAAAAGATTAATTAATTTCACAGAAATTATCTTTTAAACAAACGGAAGATTAAAGAAACTTTAAAAAGAAATTACTACTAAAAAAAATTATACTTAATTATACTTTTTCAAAAAAAAAAAAAAGAAATTTTCAAGAATCAAAATTTATTCAGAATCATTCCACTTCGATATCGTTTGCTGTGAACTTACGGTGAAAGATGTCGTCGCATAGACCTGGAATGAAGACTTTTCAAGGGCATGTGCGGATGGGGGTAACTTCTTTTTCGATGCTCTGAAACAATACCATCGAACGAATATTCCTTTCCCGCGAGCAAAACTTTGGTTAAATAATTATTCCATCTTACATA